CAGAAATACACGCATACAGACACACACACAGACACACACAAGGACACAAACACACACAGCCCGGGACAGGCAGTTATCGCAGTTATCCACTCGAGTGACCTTCACGCAGGAAAGACTCCAATCCCACAGTCGGTGCCGAGCTCCAGATCAGCTCAGGGGAGACTCTGTTCACATACCATCAAGTAGGAAAACGGTAACAGCGCAATATCAAACGCCAGGATTATTATTATTATGATTACTGAGGATATTGAGGACAGTTACACAATTCAGCGCCGCCTCTGGTGGCAGTACAGTGGTACTCAGATATTTATTTGTAATTTGAACCCAGAGTAATAATAATGATCATTGCTTTTGATATGGCGCTTTTCACGTCTCCTCGATGGTCCAGAGCGCTTCACAGAAGCCAATTGCGCACAGCAGCGTCTGTCCCACAAACAGACGTGTATTGAGAATGACCAATTTATTATTGTTTTGTTTTGGAGAGGATTATTAATAGGGTTGTGTGTGGGGTGAGGAAACTTGCCCAAGGTTTCACCCTGACCTGCCTGGAATTGAACACAGGTCTCTCGCTTGCAAAGCGAGTGCTCTATCCACTGAGCTCCAGGACTCCACAGAGTAAATCACAACGATGATTGTTTCCCTCAAACCACGACAGACGCCGAGAGAGATGGAGAAGCGGTGAATCGCTGTCAATGTCCGACCGCTCTCCGGCATTCGATGATGATAACCAGACCTGGGGACTGAGCGACATCATTAATGTCGTGGGATTCAGTGGGAAAATCTTTAATGATAGAAACACGTGAACGGGAATGGAAATGGATCCGTCAGTTATAACCAACAATGAGGAGAACTCCGAGTCGCGATCCTCCGCAAAGGGGAGAAATAAATAATTTATTTTGTTTGTTGAGAAATTGCCAACAAATTCCAAATCTCTGTCTGTTCCGCGGTCTCCGACATCCTCCTGACATGGGGGCCTTCACAGCAAGTCATGTTGCTATCGCTCTCTCTCTGACACTCTTTCTCTCTCACACACTCTCTCTCTCACACTCTCTCTCTCACACTATCATTCTCTCTCTCTCTCTCTCTCGCACACTCTCTCTCTCTAACACTCTTTCTCTCTCTCACTCTCTCTCACACACTCTCTCTCACTCACACTCAGTTTATTTTTTGTTTGTCTGTTGAGAAAGTCAATATCTTTCCAGTGTATGGCGTTGGGGCTGTAATACCGGGAGGAGACACTGAGCGGCGCTGCTTCAATGCCAACAAACTCCGGATCTCTGTTTGTGCAGTGGCACGGGACGTCCTCCCATCTTTACACCGGTCATGTTGTTGTTTTCTTTCTCTCTCCCACAGTTTCACACTCTCTTTCTCTCCGTTGTAGACACACAGAGTCAATGTGAGAGAGGGACAATAAGGGAGCGAGTGTCACTGCGCGTTACTGAAGGGTACTGGCGTCCATCTTGGCAAAGATGTCGGGGGGCGGGGGGGGGAGTCAGGTGGCGATGGCCATCATGGTAACGGCGATTAGAGTCGGTCAGTGACATCATGTGTTTGACGTGGGCAGTATGGCGCCGCCATCTTGGTAAAGGCGGCGGGAGCCGAGCCTTGACGTCATGTGGTGAGGGGACGGCCGGGAATCCCGAGCGGGAACCGCGAGCGGGGCGGGAGGGCCGAGAGGTTCGGGGACAAAAGGCCGCGGAAGGGCACCGACGGGACGAGATGTGTTCAAGTCTCCGCCTGGTCACCGGGGGGGTCAAGGCCACGGACAGTGACCCCGCGGCGACGGGCACGAGAGGCTTTAGGCTCCGCCCCACCCCAACTTTCAAACGTCACTCAGTAATGGTAAGGTCTCGCGCTGTCGGACTTCACATCCGGCCGCTATTTTGAAAGTCGCCCCGGGGCGGGTCAGGTGAGTGACGTCATTTTCCTGCCGCCAGTATCAACCCCGCCAGGGTGGGGCAAGTCAATATCCTTCTGCTGCCTTGTCCTCCCTCCCCTCCCGCTCTCCGGCACCTCAGCCATGACTGCCACCCCCCTCTGCCCCACTGCGCTGCCTCCTGGAACCCGCGGGCTGACCATGTCCCGCTCATCCCTCGCTCCAGCTCTCTGCCTGGAAATGCTCGTCCTCCTCCCCCTCTCTCCGCTCCTCCCAATCTGTCCTTCTCTCCCATCCTCCTTCCCTCCCTCCACTGCAACTTCTCTCTCTCCTGGAAACCACCGTGACCTCCTCTGCTTAGCCTGGGCAGCGCGCGCCCAGACCCATCCTGTCCCAGAGCAACACCCCAACTGTCCCATTGTTCACTCTCTCACCAGCCGCCTCCGAGAGCTAAATAGCTCTCCCTTACCATATCCTGAGAAGCCGAAACCCAAACTAAATAACTTACTCACTAAGCAACCAACCAACCAGCCAACTAACAGACTAATTAACTAACCACCTATGTTACTTACTTACTAACTAACTAACCAACTAATTAACTAACCAGAGAGTTGACCGAGGTAGTGGGACCGGCTCAATCTCAGCCATCATGCCTCCCCCATGCACACGCACAGCTCACCCTCACCACCTCACTGGCCTTCGCACACACATGTGCAACCTGCGGCGAGTACATGTGCACAACTCAGCATTTAAGTGTGTAGCCACCGACGTGTCCATGTGTGTGCCCACATGATTCCCCTCCTGGGTACAGTTGGTGCACACATACGGGTGAGTTTTTGCGCTGAGGTCCCTGTTGTAGTTTTCCGCAGCAAAGGGATAACATAAAGAGATATTTACAATAAAATCTGCTATAACACGAGGGAATATTTCCTGCATTGATATAGCATCTGATCCTTACTTAGAGTTGTCTCAAAGCTCTTCACACAGTAGAATGTAAAGTAAATTAACTGCACAATTTATCGGCGAAATATTGTTGTAAGACTGTGCTCTCTGTTTTCATAATGCAATCCCTTGGTTCACTCTCTATGACTTATTATACAAGTTTGTAGAAAAACTTTGCTTATAGCCATGTTTGGCGCAGAAGGCATAGAGTCACTACATTTTACTGTATATTCTGTAAAGCGCATTCGGACGAATTGTTTATGCTCTGCAGCAATGCATCAAACACCAGAATCTTTATTAATGAAATTACCATTTTTGAAATCTAACATCTGATAATAATACAACTAAATTTAATAGTCCTTCCATTTGATACAGCGCCTGATCAAGTCTTTGAGAAGTCCCAAAGCGCTTCAGATAATACACTGTGAAGCGAATTGACTGTGTATTTCGGGGCGAAAGGCAGCAGTCAATTGCACTCAGAGTCGTCCCACAAACATTGTGCGATCACAGATGTTTTCAAATGGCTTATTGTCAGCGGAAAGCAATCCGCCAATCAACCAACAACCGGGTTCCTGTTCACTGCTCGGAAACAGAGGTGTGTGGGGTCAGGAATCTTGCCTCAGATTTCCTCCATCTGGGAATCGAACCCGATCCTCATTATTTCTTGTGGAGTGAGCTTTCCAAACCAGTGCTCACACAATCTCTCTCTATCTCTCTCTCTCTCTCTCTCACACTCTCTCACACACTCTCTCACACTCTTTCACAATCTCTCTCTCATACTCTCACACTTTTTCTTTCTCTCTCTCACACACTGTCTAACAGTCTCTCTCTCTGAAACACATACTCAAACACCCTCTCAATATCACAAACACTCTCTTTCTAACAATCTCTCACAAACACTCTCTCACACGCTCCTTGTCTCACATTCTCTCTCACTCTCTCTATCTCACACTCTCTCTCATACACACTCTCATTCGCACGTTTAGCACACACTTTAACTCTCTCTCATAATGTCTCGCTTCCTCACACTCTCTCTCTCTTATTGTTTCTCTCAAATTCTCCCTGACTCTCTCAAACGTTTCGACCGTGTGTGGGAGAGTGGGTGTCTCTGTGTGTGAAAGTGTGTGAGTGAGTGAATGTTTGTCACAGATAGAGCACTCATTGTGACAATCGCCCTCCCTGCTCTATAGTTGACCTGAGTGAGAAGTCAGAGAGTTTTGAGTGAACAACTAAAGCCTCGACTTCTTGATCTGCATCTGAATCGCAGTTTGTACACATAGACAGGAAACCAGGCGCTGGCGGGTCACTAACCACATAGGAAGTGCAGAGCTGAACTCACAGCCTCTTGTTTCACTCTGCTGCTGACAGTCACACACGATAGTGAAGGGCAAAAACAACATGGAAATTAAAACCCAGCTCAAATGTGCCAATCGACGCATAGTAGAGCTGAAATTGGGGCCGTTTGTTTCACTGATAATCGGACGTTTAAATATGTAGACTTTATGTCAATCCTGCTTGTTTGAACTGTAAAACCATGTTGTATTGAGTTAACTTGTGTCACCATAATTCGGCGTTACCAGCACACCACAGACCTGCAGTTTATATCTTTATTAACACAGAAACAGCAGCGATTCCTCAAACATAACATTTACTCTCGGGGCCTCAATGATTAACCAGTGACCAGTGACTGACTGAACAGACTAATGACTGGGGCAGGGAATCCTTTCGCTCAGCTCCTGTTAACCCTGCAGCGAAAGTCCGAACTAACGGGGAGGGTGATCTTGGCTGGACAAGCAGTTGGAAAGCTTGGACAGACAGCGTCAGCAAGCTGTGAGGGTTTAGCTGGATAAACTCCAGCAGTTATCCCTATCACACGCTCTGGGCTACCCCCAAGTCGTGGGTCTTACCAAACTGCGCCTAATACTCTTTAGATTTAAGCTAGCAGTCTGTGAGCTTCCAGGGGGAGATGAGAGGAAATTCCATGTGTAGGTGGGATACATGGAATTCTGAGTTTCGTTTGGATCTTAAGCAACACTTCTCCATTCTGTTCCACACACTGGTGAATCGCTCACATCAATTTAACTTGCAGTCATCCTGTTTCTCAAAAGTCACCTGTCTCTTTCCGTCGCCCTCTCGCTGTCTGTCACTCTATCTCTGTGTCCCTGAGTTCGTGTCTATGTCCATCTGTAAACACAGAGGGCAGGAGAGGCAATGACACGGTTAAAGTGCGTGTATCTCTGCGATTGTGGTTTTCAGTCAACACCTAAAGCTCCGGCTTCTTGCTATGCATCTTGACTCGCTTATTGTACAAAAAGACAGGAAACCAGGCACAGGGGTATCTAACCACAGGGGATGTGCAGAGCTGAACTCATGCTCTCTGTTCCTCTCTGTTGCTGACAGTCGCAGCACGAGAGCAAAGGGCAAAAATAACAGGGAAATCAATCTCATCTCAAATATACCACCAACACACAGCAACAGCTCAAACTAGAGCAGCTTGTTTCACTGACAATTGGACGGTACAGATTGTAGATTTGCTCTGTTGGGATCACAGACACAATCAGCAGGTTTCACAAGAAAAGACTTGAGGAGGATTTGTCAGCCCTGTGACTGGGAGCCGCCCACACAATCAGGCTGAAACCGAAACCAGTTTCAATCAGTAAGTGCTCAGTATCAAAATGGCTTCCAGACCCCAGGCTGAGAGCTGGACCGAGGAGCTAAACTGTGCCATTTGTCTGGATTTCTTCACTGATCCTGTTAGTCTGGACTGTGGCCACAACTTCTGTCGCCTCTGTATCACCGGGAGCTGGGAAAACCAGGAGAAAAACTCCTGTGCGATATGTCGCCAAGTTACTGCAGAGAGGAATTTCAAGGTCAATTGGGCCCTGGCCAAAATGGTGGAGAAAGCTCGTGAATTCACTCTCGAACCGACACCGACGGCAGTTAACCGTCAGTGTGAAAAACACCGGGAGGACCTGAAGCTGTTCTGTGAAGATGACAAGAAATTGATCTGTTCCATTTGCAGAGATGCGAAAGAGCACAGAGGTCACATCTTCCTGCCCATTGACGAAGCTGCTGAAATCTACAAGGTACCGAGACCCTCAGGCGGGATTCATTCCGTTTCCACGTCATATTTTCACCTCAAACACTTTTATTCTGTGCATTTATTCCAGGATCAAGTGAAGTCCTCCATAGCTTTTCTCACACAGAGGAAGGAAACTACTCTACAAATTGCAGCCAAACAGAGAGCAAAGATTTCACAAGTTAAGGTAAGTTGTGTCGGGGCTGATGTCTGGTCTGTCAATGTGTCTCTGGTTACTGTGTGTGCACGTTGTGATGCCTCAGTGTCTCTGGTTACTCTGTGGACAACGGTGTGAGGTCTAAGTGTCTCTGTTTACTGTGTGTACACGGTGTGATGTCTCAGTGTCTCTGGTTACTGTGTGTAAACGGTGTGATGTCTCAGTGCCTCTGGTTACTGTGTGCACACGGTGTAGTGTCTCAGTGTCTCTGGTTACTGTGTGTACACGCTGTGATGTCTCAGTGTCTCTGGTTACTGTGTGTACACGCTGTGATGTCTGAGTGTCTCTGGTTAGTGTGTGTACATGGTGTAATGTCTCAGGGTCTCTGGTTACTGTGTGTACACGGTGTGATGTCTCAGTATCTCTGGTTACTGTGTATACACGGTGGGATGTCCCAGGTCTCTGGTTACTGTGTGTAACGGTTGGATGTCTGACACTTGCAGGAACAGGTGAACAGTCTGCAGACCCACGTCACGGCACAGTTTGCTAAAATGCACCAGAGTCTGACTGACAGAGAGCAGCGGGTAATGAGAGATCTCAAAGAGCGAGAGGAGGAAATTTTATACCGAATGGAGACAAATCTTCGTGAGATTCAGGACAAATTAGAGTCCGTTGAACAAAAACTATCCGAGTTACAAACACAGATGGGAAAAGACGCTGTCACTCTCGTGCAGGTAAAGAGATGATATTATAATCCAGTTCAGTCACAGTTACACACAGTCCGGAGAAGATAAACCAATTGTGATTAATAAAGAGATCAGAGATTGAATTGGGATGTGGGAGACTCTTTACACATGTAATCTGTTGTTGTTGGTGGTGGTGTCTCAGTCTGAGCTGACATCTGTCTATGTTTGATTTCATTAGGAGGAAGCTGCTGGCAACAGAAGGTATGAAATGATCTTTACCAAATATCGCAGAATTGAAATCACAAACCACCCACAAAGTGCAGTTTTCACTCTATAATATGATGGTGTCTTGTTTCAGGGTCAGTGACGTGGGGTTTGTTCTGTCAGTGTGTGAGGCTGAGCTGCCAGTGGCCAAGTACAAGTGGCCTTTGAAGAACACAGTCTGGAGAGAGATTATAGACAGCGTCAGCCCAGGTACATGTCTCGCATTCTCACCCTGAAGCCGTGTCAATCACCTTACATTCACGAACACATAAACCCACACACACTGTCTCACACACCCACACACCAATACGCAATCCCTCACACAATCAACCACACACACAGATACACATAGCTTCACACACACAGACACATACACTCTTCAGACACACACTATCACAAACACACCCTCACACACTCCCCTCACACACTTCATCGTGGAGTCCTGTAGCTCAGTGGTTAGAGCACTCGCTTTGCAAGCGAGACAGCTGAGTTCAATTCCAGGCAGAGGGCGAAACCTTGGGCAAGTTTCCTTACTCCACATAATCCCTCCAAAAGCTAAAAACAACAATAAATTGGTCATTTTCAATCTACGACTGTTTGTGGGACATTGCTGTGCGCAATTCGCTGCCGCGTTCGCCCACAAATATACAGTCAATTCACTTTACAGTGTGTCCTATGAAGCGCTTTGGGACGTCCTCCCGACGTGAAAAGCGCTGCACCAATTGCAAGGGTTATTGCTATTATTATTACACACACCCTCACAGAAACACCCTCACAGACAACCCATCGCACACCCTCAAATACACATTAATACACACACGCTCACACACACCCTCACAGGCACACTCACACACACCCACACAGACACATCCTCACATACAAACTCTCACACATGCAACCTCACACACAGTGTCACACACAACCCTTCACACATAACCTCACACACCTGCTAACACATACCCTCTCACACACACTCACACACCCCCTCACACAGACTGTGACTCTCTGAGCTAGATTGTGCCCCAGTTTTATATGTGTTCACGCACAGTCTGAGCTCCAGATGTCCCCTCACTCCACTTTATGTTGTGTCTCTCTCTTAGCTCCGGCCTCTCTGACTCTGGATCCTGACACAGCCCATCCCCGGCTCATCCTGTCTGAGGACCTAACCAGCGTGAGTCACGGAGATACACGGCAGCAGCTCACTGACTCCCCGAAGAGGTTTGATTATTGCGTCAGTGTCCTGGGGTCTGAGGGCTTCACATCAGGGAGACATTACTGGGAGGTACAGGTGGCCAACAAGACAAAGTGGGATGTGGGATTTGCCCGAGAGTCTGTCAACAGGAAAGGAAAGATCATATGTTCACCAGAGAACGGATTCTGGGTTTTGTGGTTGAGAAACGGGAATGAATATGAAGCTCTGACATCACCTTCCACCCTTTTAACCCTGAGAGAGAGACCCGGGAAGCTGGGAGTGTTCCTGGATTATGAGGGCGGACAGGTGACATTTTACAACGCTGATAACATGTCTCATCTCCACACTTTCAACGACACTTTCACTGAGAAACTTTATCCTTACTTCGGTCCCTGTAATAACGACGGCGGCAAAAACTGTGATCCTCTGAGGATCTGCCGGGTGACCGATTAGTGAGGAGGAAACCCTCAGCCATGACCTGTGTTTGGCTGTGATGGCCACGAAACTAAACCTTTATAGTCTGTGTCGCTATACAGTTAACCTTGTGGATTATATTACACTTTTCACACTTAAAGTTTGCGTTAATATCAATGATATCAATACGGTTTTACATTAACTTTGGGTTTTGATTTAAACCACAAACACGAAACCCGAGAACACACACGGCAAACGTTCTAAAAGTTCCCTGGATCCCCGGGGTTTAACGTGCAAGATATTCCTAATTCTGCTTTAATCCCAAATATATAAACCGCTTTTTGGATTAACTGTCTCTCGGTCTCCGTCTCTCTCTCCCTCTTTGTTTTCGGGACGTCTCAAAGCGTTTCACACGTTATACTGTATACTGTCTCTGTAACGGGTCGTGTAGCTCAGTGGTTACTGCCCGTGTCACGCAAGCCAGAGACCTAGGTTCAATCCCCAATTGGAGTGAAACCTTCAGAAAATTTCCTCCCTAAGCAGAGACATACAGAGACCCACACACAGACCAATATCTACACATCTACAGTCACACTCATAGACACACATCCATACGCACACCGTCAGACTATCACATGCACTGACACACAAACACACAGACACCCATACAAACCGACACACACACAGATACGCAGCAAACACACACAGAGACACACACAGAAGGATACACACACACTTAGACACAAAGAGACACAAACGCACACAGACTCACACAAAGACACACGCAGAAATAAACACACATACAGACACACACACAGACACACACAGGGACACCAACACACACAGCCCGGGATAGGCAGTTATCGCAGTGTCCACCTGAGTGACCATCACACAGGAAAGACTCCAATCCCACAGTCGGTGCCGAGCTCCAAATGAGCTCCGGGGAGACGCTGTTCAATTACTCTCAAGTAGGAAAACGGATTTGAATAAACAAGCGCTTCGGGGCGTCTGCAAGCAGGTAACAGCGCAATATCAAACGCCAGGATTATTATTATTATTATTACTGCAGATATTGTAGGCAGTTACACAGTGCAGCACCGCCTCTGGTGGCAGTACAATGGTACTCAGGTATTTATTTGTAATTTGAACCCAGAGTAATAATAATAATCATTGCATTTGATATGGGGCTTTTCAGATCTCCTCGATGTCCCAAAGCGCCTCCCAGAATAGACGTAAAGTGAGTTGACGGTGTATCTGTGGGTGAACGCGGCGGTCGATTGCGCACAGCAGCGTCTGTCCCACAAACAGTCGTGGATTGAAAATGACCAAATTATTATTGTTTTGTTTTGGAGGGATTATTATTAGGGCTGTGTGTGGGGTGAGGAAACTTGCCCAAGATTTCATCCTGACCTGCCTGGAATTGAATACAGGTCTCTCGCTTGCGAAGCTAGTGCTCTCACCACTGAGCTCCAGGACTCCACAGAGTAAATCACACCAAATGATTGTTTCCCTCAAACCGCCGCCAGAGAGACGGAGAAGCGGTGAATCGCCTTCGGTGACCGACCGCTCTCCGGCATTAGATAGTGATGACCGGACCCGGGGCCTGGCCGCACCATTAATATCGTGGGATTCAGTAGGAAACCCTTCACCGACACAAACGCATGAACGGGAATGGAAATGGATCCGTCAGTTATAACCGACACTGAGGAGAACTCCGAGTCGCGATCCTCCGAAGGAGAGAAATAAATAGTTTATTTGTTTGTTGAGAAACTGCAAACAAATTCCGAATCTCTGTCTGCTCCGCGGCCGCGGACATCCTCCTGACATGGGGGGCCTTCTCACCAAGTCATGTTGTTATCTCTCTCTCTCTCTCTCTCTCTCACTCTCTCTCTCACTCAAACTCTCTCTCTCACTCTCTCTCTCTCTCTCCCTCCCTGTGTCATACACCCACACTCTCTCTCTCTCTGACACACTCTCTCTCTCACTCAAACTCTCTCTCACTCTCTCTCTGTCTCACACACCAACACCCTCTCTCTCTCTCTCTCTCTCTCTCTGTCTCACACACCCACACTATCTCTCTCTCTCTCTGTCTCACACACTCCCTCTCTCTCACTCTCTCGCTCTCTCTCTCGGTCTCACACTAACTCTCTCACACACTCTCTCTCTCTTTCTCACACTCTCTCTCTCACTCTCTCTCTGTCTCACTCTCTTTTTCTCTCTCACTCACTCACACTCTCTCTATATAGCTCTCTGTCTCTCTATCTCTTTCACTCTCTCTCTCACACTCTCACAATCTCTCTCAGCTCTCCATCTCTCTCTCTATCGCACACTCTCTCGCTCATTCTCTCTCTCTCTGTCTCACACTGTCTCTCTCTCACTCTCTGTCTGTCTCACACACACACTGTCTCTCTCATAATCTCTCTCTCTCTACTTCTTTCTCACTCTCTCTCTCTCTGTCTCCCTTTCACACTTTCTCTCATTTTCTCTCTCAATCACTCTCTCTCTCTAACGCTCTCGCTCTCTCTCGCTATCACTCAATCTCTCTCTCTCTCTCTCTCACTCACTCTCTCTCTAACGCTCTCTCTCTCACACACACTCTCTCTCTCACACTCTCTCACACACTCTCTCTCTCTCACACTCTCTCACACACTCTCTCTCTCACACTCTCTCTTCCTCTCTCCCTCTCAGACTCTTTCAACCTCCCACTCTCTCTCACACACTCTCTCTCTCTGACCCTCTCTCTCTCTCTCTCTCTCATACTCGGACATTCTCTCTCTCTCTTTCCGCTGTAGACAGAGAGAGGGTGTGGAAGAGAGAGACAGTGAAGGAGTGAGTGCTTCTGTGCCTTTCTGAAGGGCATTGGTGGCCATCTTGGTAAAGGGGGCTGTGGGCAGGAATCAGGCGCTGACAGCCATTTTGGTAAAGGCGATGATTGCCGGTCAGTGACCTTATGTGTGTGACGTCTACAGCCTGTCGGCAGCCATCTTGGTAAAGGCGGCGAGAATCGGGCAGTGACGTCATCCGTATGACGTGGGCAGTCTGGTGACGGCCATCTTTGTACTCGAGTCGCCTCAGGCCTGGTCTCGCGCTGTCGGACTTCAATTCCGGCCGCTATTTTGAAAGTCGCCCCCGGGGTCGGGTGTGCAGAGTGGCGTCACTTCTTGGCGCCAGTTTCAAACCCGCCAGGGTTGGGCAAGTCGCGCCATTACCCTTCTGTTGCCTTGTCCTCCCCCCCCCCCGTTCCGCTCTCCAGAACGTCAGCCATGACCGGCATCCCCCTATCCCACTCTGAGCTGCCTCCTGGAGCCTCAGGACCCGCTCACCCCACCCCCGCCCAAAACTGTCCCATCGATCAATATCTCCCCCGCCAACAGCTGCCTCCCACAGACAAACACCCCTTCCCCTCCCTCACCAGACCCTGAGCAGCCAAAGCCCTAACCAACCAACCAGCCAGCCAGCCCAGCAAAGCCCAACCCAACCAACCAACTAGCTAACCAACCAGCTAACTAATTAACTAATTAATTAACTAACTAAAGGGAGGGTTGTCCTAGGTGGTGGGACCGGCTGAAGCTCCAGCCTCATGCCTCCCACATGCACACGCACAGCTCACCCTCACCATCTCACCGGCCTTCGCACGCACATATGCAGCCTGTGGCGAGTTGTTAGAAAATAAAATCAGCCAAATCTGTAAGGAAATTACACTAATTCCGTTAACCAGATATCAGACTGTTTTATTATTATTCGTTTGTTATTCCCCAATATCCCGATGAGTCAGACCAAAGGCCGGTACAATCAACACATCTTACAACAGAATAACACCACTATAGATATTTCGAGTTCAAGAGTTCAACACTATGTCTTTCCAGCACACAAGCTTGATTCTTTGTGCTTTCAGTCGTCTTGCTTACAGCTTTCAATCTGCCATCTGATATCCTCAGTCTTGGTGTTTCCAGCTCTCAGTCTTCCATCTCCGTACCCTTGTCTCTGCAGCCCGAGACGGCTCCATCTCTCTTATCCTTCTCTCTGCGACCTGGAACGGCTCCATCTCCCGTATCCTTGTCTCCACGACCCGGGATGGCCCCATCTCCCGTATCCTTGTTTCCACGACCCGGGATGGCACCGTACACAAAGTTAACGGAACTCTTGTACCAATGTTCATCCAATCATGGTGCGGACATTAGATCACCTGGTCAAAATCATGCTGGGTGTACGTGCCTCAGCACACGTACACATTTTCCTTAAGACCCTTGTTATCTGATCTGATTGTCTAAGATAGAGGATTGATCAGTTTAGGACTGTATCTGGTGCTCATTATTTTGTGGTGTGGGATCACTAGTTTATTCCTTTTAAGTGACTGGTTATTTCTTATCAGTATCCCGGGATGGTACCACGGTCCTCTAGTTTAAACAACTTGCTCATTAATTGCTATTCTTGAGGGATGCCTTCTGTCGCTTGGCTGGCCCTGTCAGAATCTAGCGACTTATTGCTCAGTCGAGATCCTGTGTCGACTGGTACCTTGCACCGTTACCTCTGTGGGCTTGTTGTCATTTACTGATAAGAGGCGAACCCCTGCCCCTGTCTGTTATTCTTTCAAAAACAGAGAAAGCCAGATGAGCCCTATACCATGACTGTCAGACCAGTTGTCCCCCCCACGTAACTTAAAATTAACCATTCACAACATCTATTATAATTCTAACATTATAGAAAAAGTGTAAATTCTAAAAGAGTACATGTGCGCAACGCAGCATTTAAGTGTGTAGCCACCGGCATGTACATGTGTGTCCACTGGCGTGTCCGTGGGTCCACATGCTTTCCGTCCTGGGTACTATCCCCCTACCTACCTGCCCGTACCCTCCGTTCCTCTGACTCCGGTCTGCTCCACGTCCCCCGCCCCCATCGCCCTACCATCGGTGGTCGGGCCTTCAGCCTCTCAGCCCCCAGGCTCTGGATCTCCATCCACCAGTGCCTTCGCCTTGCTTCCTCCCTTTCCTCCTTCAAGGCCGGTCTCAAAACCTTTCTCTTTGACCGTGCCTTCAGCTCCCCTCTCGACTCTCTTCGCCCTCCTCGCTCCCTCCCTTCCCTCCCCTCACCCTGACCATTTCCCCCCTGCTCGGGTCATGAGTCAACTGTGCAGCGCCTTGGGACGTCCTCCTGACGTGAAAGGCGCTTTAAAAATGGAATCTTGTTGTTGTTGTTGTTACAGTTGGAACACACACGCGGTAGAGCATTCGCACTGATGTCACTGTCGGGGTTCTGCGCAGCAAAGGGATAAGGAAAGAGATATTTACAATAAAAGCTGCTGTAGCATGAGTGTAATAATTCCTGCATTTGCTATAGCGTCTGATCCTTTCTTAT